TTGCCTTCATTAGAACATTTTGTGCAACCTTCTTACAACACTGAATAGCAAAAAGTAGCCTAAATTTGGCAAACTAGTCCTTTCAAACCTTTACAGTGATGCTGCTTTTTCTTGCACCTTGTTGTAACAAGCTTCCTGTCTCTGTGTGCAGGGGGAACATGTGTGGTGAATCCTACAGATTTGTTCTGCTCAGTACCGGGTCGGCTTTCGCTGCTCAGTTCCACCTCAAAGTACAAAGTCACCATCGCTGAGGTGAAAAGAAGACTGTCCCCGCCAGAGTGCCTCAATGCTTCCTTACTGGGCGGCATACTGCGTAGGTCAGTATGATGCACATACAGGATATTAGTCTGACAACATGCCCAAGCTTCATCACAGCGTCTCTAAATATAACTACACTGATTAAAGAGAGTATATTGATGTATCGGTTTGAAGACAAATCAGACTTATCAACTGTTTTGAGAGTTCGCTTAGTGCGACTGAAGTTTCTGTCTCATCTTACTGCAACATTATGGATCTATATGCTGCTATGACAGAGCTGCTTACAGCTCTAAAGAACTTCAAACTCATTAAGAGTCTAAGCCTAAAATATCCTCTCACAAATAAATCCTGAATCCACTGTGACCACTGGCCAGTGCCTTGATGAGTTTCAGGCATTCATCAGATTCTGATATCTATTTCTGAAGTATCACTTTACAGGTTAATCAGTATCATCTCCGGAGAGTGAGAAACCCAAATTTCAAATGTGTTTAATCAGTAGCAGGGTTGTTAACGGCTTCAATTGGCAGATTAGAGCAATTTCTAAAAAAACAAAAAACAAAAACATTTTGACATACTTGTGGTGTAAAAACATCTGAAAAATCCTAATGTCTCTTTTGGTGCATCCACACACTGTTAAATTCTAGCAGCATGTAATGATATTGGAGTAAGGAGGTGAGTGTGATGGATGAGGACTTTGAAAGTGAAAAAATATATTTTTTTTAAGTGTAAATCTGGCTGGTGAGCATTGGAGAGCGCTGGCTGAATCTTTGTAGCCCTCAGATGAAACAGAGGATATATAGCAGCGCCCACAAAGACTATTGTAGGCGAATGAGGGCCGGGGCTGCACGCGCCGCCATGCCCAGGGAGCCAGAGGGAGGCGAGACCAGGCCAAAGCATGCCAGGATCAGAGGAACCAGAGGAAAGCAAGAGTTGCCAGCGCTGTATTATTGATGAGGTGGAGAGAAAGGGAAGGGGGAAAGAGGAACAAGCAAGCACAGAGAATATGGCTGGTCCTACAAGATGAGGAATCAAAAAAGTAAAATAAAATAAGATAAATGTGCAAATAGCTACTGTTGATCCTCGTGTGAAGAATATAAACTGCAAATCTCTAACAGATGAGTATCTGGAATGTGTTTAATCATGTTGTGTCATTTAATAATAATCACTTCACAAAGAACAACAGAAATGTGCAGAAATGTGCAGAAAGTTGTCTCGAGTGGAACTGCAGGTTTAAAGTTTTATGGCAGAGGAAGGAAGCACATATGCTTTAAAAAAATAACATAAAAGACTAAGGAAGCTTTGTGCCTCTGCCTTAACCTTATGGCTTTGTCACATCAAAACAAATCCATATTCTTGCCTTGTTTCTTGTGAGACTTAATTAAGCACATCCTTTTCAGTAGAACAAGGAGTTCACATTAATTTGATTGTACCTTAGTTCTATGAAAAATGACTGGCTGATTGATGCTGCTTCTGCTCCTGCTGCTGTGCTCCATATATTCAGTCTTTTGGGGTCTTGTATAATTCAGTTGCTTGACTTTGTAGGATATGTGATGCATAGTTCTTTACTATATGTTTCCAGAGCAAAGTCTAAGAATGGAGGCCGGTGTCTTCGTGAGAAATTAGACCGTTTAGGGCTCAACCTACCAGCAGGACGGAGGAAAGCCGCCAACGTAACGCTGCTCACCTCCCTGGTGGAAGGTAAGTAACTTTCCTGCACATTTTTTTTTGTCATTTTCAATTTATATTGCACCACATTAATTTCATAATACAGTTTAATTGTTGTCTCATCAGTCTTTTTTCCCTCTTTTGTTTTCTTTCAGGTGAGGCGCTCCACCTGGCGAGGGACTTTGGCTACACCTGTGAGACAGAGTTTCCCAGTAAGGCAGTGGGTGAACATTTGGCGAGGCAGCACAGTGAGCCGAAAGAAACCAGCGCACGCAAGAAGATGGTCCTGGCTACAAAGTGAGTGAGACACATGCAACGTACAGACACACACTAAAAGAAGATGGCAAGAAACAAAAAACTTTTGCTACTGCGTGGTCACACAGAATAGGTTTTATTTTGAAATTCTGGAAATGTTAATGTTTCTGAGTGATCAGGTTTCAGTTAATGTTTGTCTGTTGTTTAAGGCATGGACAGATCTGTCCCTGTCAAATGTCAGGGAGAGATAAATTTTACTTAAACACTTATATTCCTATTTACAGCCATTACCAGCCATTACAATCCTTTGATTTAAGAAAATCTTTCAGAAAAATGATTAACAAGTAAATATAATAACAGTAGGTAAGTTTTGGTGTGACTTCTTGCTCAAACTGTTGTAAACTCCTTCACCTTACAGCAGTTTCCTGCATGGAACACCTACTGTATGTGGAAAATATTGTGTTACCACATTTAAGGGGTTAGCGCTTATATTTATATAATTGCAAGAGCTTTATTTGTAGTTCCTTTTTACAGTATAAAACTGTATTCTGAATATGCTGAAGGGGAAATAAAACTCCCACTCTTTTCCAGATAAGTTGATTTTGTTCCAATAAAATCAGCCCAAGAGTTGCTATAATGCTAACTGAAATGCAAAAAGACAAGACCAGAAAATGCTGCGTGGTGCAGAATCTTTGGTATCATGTTAGGAAAAACAATGAACCAGTGGAAGTAACTTAAATCTGCATGTGGGTGGATCCAAAATGATGAGGGTGGGTGCAGAAAAAGGAGAAAATGTGATGGTTTTGTTGGAGACAGATGGTAAACCCTCAGTCCCTCCTTCTGTCCGTCAGGCAAATCTGTAAGGAGTTCCAGGACTTATTGAGCCAAGATCGCTCTCCTCTGGGCTCATCCAGACCAACACCAATCTTGGACCTGGACATCCAGAGACACCTCACACACTTCAGGTAACACGTGTGACACGCATAAGAAAATAATGGAGCGTTTCCTTTTTTTTCCCTTAAGGATGTTGCCAATCTTGAGTCACTCTCGGCACTAAATCTACTGAGCGAAGACAGTTTTCTTGCAGAGCCTCGCTCTGTGTTTTCCCACTGACCTCTCTGCCATTTTAGAAAGATGCAGCTGTGCAGTTTGATATTTGGCACAATTGACAGAGGAGGAGGAAACAGCGCCTTGTTAGCAGAAATGTCACATCTATGGCGTCATCATTTGCAGAATATACAACATCTTATCAGACCTCTGAAGGGAGCTGTACTGTAGACTGCTGGGCAGAGAACCAGGATGTGAGCTCAGTGGTAGAAATAAAGTGACAGATTGAACAACAACATCCTTCTGCCAACTTAAGGGTCTGAGCTCAAGGACGAGCAGCTATTTAGCTCTGGACAAACCGGCATGATGATCTGATAGGACAGATGAAATGATATCAGACTTAAAAACTGATTCTTAAAAAGCGTTTCAATGCACATTTTACCTTGTACCATAATCCTGCAATTTTGTAGCGCTTTTAAATTTGTGATGTCATGAATGTTCAGATTCTGATGACTGACTTTGAAAAGAGAGTTTATCTCAAATAAACTACAAAAACACTGTTGGCTAGGACTATCACTACACTACAAATATCAAATACAGATATGGGGACATGATATGACTTTTAGCCAGTATGTCTAATGTTTTTTTTTCAAACAGTCTCTTTCAAAAGTGATAAAAGCCTAAAGTGAATTTGATTAAGACATCACCAGCAGTTCAACAGCCAAGATTAGAATAACCTTAGACAAGAACAACAACAACAATCTTATGTGAAATTTCCTAATCGGCAAAGCTCTAATTTGTATTTCATAGTTTAAGCTGGACAGCGTTCAGGCCTTTGCTAAAACAGGAGCAGAAACTCTGTGTTTCCCAGTAAACTGCTGTAGAAACAGATCATCGCAGAGCATCACAGAGAGGCTTTTCTGACAGACTAAAGAAACTTCATTCAGAGGATTTGAAGCTCCATAATGCAGGAGGAAGGTTTCACCGCAGGTGTGAGAAAATCTGAGTCACTTCAGCTGTTAGTGTCATACAAACTCCCCAACAGCTCCACTGATTCATTTAACCTTCACTTCTTTGGTTTGCCATTGCTCTAATAATCATTTCCCTCTCTTCCCATGCAGTCTGATCACTCATGGGTTTGGCACGCCGGCGGTCTGTGCAGCTCTCAGCACCTTCCAGACAGTGCTGAGCGAGATGCTCAACTACCTGGACAAAACCTCGAGTGGGAAAACGAGCGGAGCCGGCGACCAACAGATCAACAACAGCTCGGAAAAGACGCAGCTCCGGAAAACAGCCGAGCCCCAGAGCAAAGACGGGAAAACAGAAAAGACTGAGTAGCCCCCACCCACCCGGTCCCCGTGCCTTGGAGCGCTGCATTTAGAAGTGTGCGTGCGTGAGTGTGTGTGAACGCGTGCACTCTGAAAGGGGATCTGTTATTTCCCATGCATTGCTGTATCTTCTTTGGGACACTTCCTATTTATTGTTATTTATTTATCTTATGTTGACATGTAACACTAACTGAACTGTCCCAAGCAAGACATCCTGATGTGTGAGCGAAAGCAACGCATCCAGTGTAAATGTGCGTGCGTGCGTGTGTGCGTGTCGTGACAAAGAGGAGCCTTGCCATGGAGATGGCTGTGACTCATCTAGTACTTTATTTCTTTATTTATTAATTCTCAAAACAGGAGGTAAACAACACAGTTTCCCAGGACAGGTTGGGGGGGATACATATTTAACACACACACACACACACACACACACACTCAGGGTTTGTGGGGATGTAATCTAAATCCAGTTAATTCAGGTGTGGATACTCTGCAAAAGTACAAAACCTGGAGCTGTTTTTTTTCCCTCTGAAGAATCATTTAATGTGTTTTTATTTAAACAATAAGAGATATCAAACACACGAGTTACAGTTTTGCTTTTTGTGCAATTTCCATCTGACTGAAATAAAATAATTGAATCTCCCAGACATCCTCAACAACAGAAAACTGAATGCAGCTTTGACCCAAACCCTGATGCACACATACAGACAGACTTTAACACCACACACACACTCACACAGCCACACCCCCTTCACCTGTATGAGCACTTGAACAATGCCAAGCAGACATGTTTTTTTTTTTCATTTTTACACCGTACAATCAGTGCCATAACAGCCTGTATGTTTACCATGCGGATGAAAGACGAAGAGAGTGTTTCTGGACGTGACACTGATGGAAGCCACTGCCCGGGGTGGGCTTCACTGCGCTGTGTGTGAGTGTGAATGTGATAAAGAGAGTGAAAGCGAGAGAGAAGGATCCAACTCAGCCATTTTGTAAAAGGTGACTTTGCAGTTGCCAGCATTACTCTTCCCTGTGCATGTCTATCTTTGTACACTCCCCAGATCGCAAGTTTAGCCGACACGAGCTCTCTGACTCGCTCATGAACATTTGTAAAGATATATATAAATATTTAAATTACTTTTCTTGTAGGCTTTCAACAATATATATGTTAAATCCCTACCTTCTAAAATGCTGGTGTTCAATAAAGACAGTTGCTACGTGTTCTACAATTTACCTTTATATGTCCTGCACAAACACACGCACACACCGATGCACACGCTCCACATACAAAACATACAGAAGGAGGCGACAGAGCAAGTACAGACTAAAGCGAGGCAGCCTAGATCAAAGCAGCCAGAGTGAATTATCCATACGAGTTCATAGTGTTAAAATTATTGAAAGCCAGGGTTCCTCTCTAATGTTGCGAGAAAAGGCTCTACCTACAGAAAAAGTTCAAAAGCCTCCTTTGTGTTCACGAGCATGTGTGCTTTCTTTGTTTGAGCGACTTCTGTCAGGTTTTCTGTTTATTTATATTTCAAAAAAATAAATATATCTAATGATAAAACAGAGAGGAGCAGCTGCCTGCTGGCGTCTCCATCCGGGCTCTGCAGGTTCTGTTTACTTTTTAATATTCCATTCATTTGAAAGGAGGTCACGTTCGCTGCATAACACAAAAATACATAATCAGACAGGATGCATTTACAGTGATGCCTGCACCCGTTTGTCACCCTGAATCAGTGCAAGCAAAGCCTCAGGTGGGAAAGTAATGGTGGCTAAGAGAGATGTAAAGGAAGGAAGTGACACGGGAGCAGAATATCAGTATATTCCCAGGATTGCTGTTATTGTTCGGCCTGGTATTTGACAGATGGCATTATCATCCAAATCCAAATGCGTGCAGTCGGTGTTTTGTGTCTACAACCCCTGAGCTGTAAAGGTTAACTAAAATTGTTTAGAAATCAAGGGTGTTTTTAAACCACTAAATGAAGATATACGCACAATACAAAAGCAGCAGTAAGCGAGGAGGAATAACTACCAAAATATTTGAGCTGGAATTACAAAAACGTATATAATAAACACAGTTCTAGATATTTTAGGGAACCACTTGACATAACACGACTGAGTTAAATCCACAAACCATTTCTTTATTTCTGGGTTTCAGTGGTCGTGTGCAGCGCGGTGGAGGTGGGGGTATGGTTAATGGTGACAAAAGACTAACCCAGTCCTCCGACAACTCAAAAGACAGCAGCAAGGCAAACTTTCAAATCACTATCAAGCAATTCTTACAACATTTTATGTTGGAGCTGAACGTCAATTACTTTGTTGTCAGCAGGAAGACAGTCAACTGTCAAAAATTCTGATTATCCTAAATGAAAGATGCAAAACTGCCTCCTTGTTTCCAGCCTCAAAGTTCTGTAGCTTTCCTGCGATTTTCTATCAAAACTGGAGTGTTTTTAGCAACCTAGATTGGACAAAACAAGCATATTTAAAGATTTAATAAACAGAAAACCACACTGGTGGTAAATCCACTACAAAAGCTGAAGCCACATTTTCACTTTGTGTTTCTATTGTTGCTTTAAAGAGTCTGTCACAAATAGCAGAAGAGCAGCTTTCATGGCGTTGATCTAAAATCCTCTTTTATAATCGGTTCTGAAATGCTTCATTATGTCAGACTGGAGATGGGATAAAACTGCACATACAACAATATTGTGAATAATCTTCTATCTTATACAAAGTTAACTCATATGCTGGCTATTTATTTGTCAACAGGAGACAGAAGACAAATAACATGATAGCACTTTTAGTAGATATTGCAAGAAAAAAAATCAATATTATGGATTCTTTGGGCCACGATTATTATGTTGCAAAAATCTTTTATCGAGGTGGCTGATGGCACCTGCCAAACAGAAGACTGATTTGAAAGTTGATCTGATGAGAGAGCCCGAGTTTACCGCTGCTTTAAGAGTTAAATGAGTACATGAGGGTTCAAATTTGATTTGAGACATTTTCCTGACATTTAATAAGCTACAGACACATCACAGATCCTACTGTCTTGTTTTTGGAGTGACATGTTTCAGTTGTTTTCAATCTCAGCAACATCAGGAACATCAGTCACGTAAGCAGCTGATACAGAAGAATCAGTGTGATATAAAATCAGACTCATGGTACTTGGTTGCAGTGTGTACAAAGGTGTAAGAGGGAAATGTCTATGAAACAAAGCCGGTTTCGGAACTGGTTCTTTGATGTTTGCTGCAGCTTATCTGAGGGACAGAGGTATATACTATACTCACCTACACACGCAGGCAGCTACACATATGCAAATATACACTCGGACGTCACAACCTAATCTCACTTTTGTTTGTTATTGCGCTGCGTGATAAACATGTAATCCCTGAGAAAGACGTCCTCGCTGACCCAACATCAGAATAATGAACGGCTTGATCAAAATTAGCTGGAAAATGAAATCGATACGTTGCCTCTGCCGGAGTTTCTGTAAATTGAAAAATGGACTAGAATGAATCACAAGCCTGACAACAGCAATGCATAATGTGATGGGGCAGCTGATGCATAATTCACACAGTCTATTGATCGTGTTACAATGCAACACTCAGTTATCACCACATAAGGAATTAGAGTATAGTGTCTGTTTTACTACTCTGCTCTTCAGCCTTCAGTGTGGCGTGTTGTTTATTTTGTGATTTATATACGCTCTTTTTATTTTTACTGTTAATCTCACTGCAATTCTGATCTTTTACATGCAGTAATGTTTAATATGCAGAACACACTAAAAGTGTACATCTCCCAACCAGAAAAGCATGCAATGAATACAGCCATTTATATGGGCATGAATTAGACTGTCTGAGGTCTCAGTGGGACTATAACTCCTGCTGAGTGAGCCCCACAGTCACGAATACCAAACTCTGCTAACTTCTAAGCCCCATTTCTCCAGTCTCTGAAGCTATAAACCTCCTCCTCCACCTCTTCTTCTTCCCCAGATTCTCTGCTAAAACCTCTTCCTCCTCCATCCTGATCCTGTTCAGTCCCAGGCCTTTTCTGCTCTGCTACCGTCCTGCTTACTGTCCCCATCACTGCCAGTCAGGTGCACAGTACACACACCTCATGAGCTACTGCAATTCATTTAGGACTACAAGACACCAGACAGAGCACCCTGTTTTCCATGAAATGATGATCTACTTCCATTTGCCAGATCCTGGGAGGCATAAAGGACTGGTGGATATGTTTGAGGGAATGCGAACTTGTGTCTTTTGATGAAAGATGCAATTTTTTATGTTTCCTGTCTCCTAAAAAAATGCAACAATTCCTGCATAATTATTACTTAAATCATTACTCATGTCTGAACATTGTTATGATTTGTTTGACATTTTTCTGGACTAAACCATGTTGCCAGCAGTGAGTATCCCAAAACAGAAGCGAACCTACCGGCTGAATAATATTGTTTTCTTATGTTACTTTGGAGGAAACCTTGAGCCTGTTGTGTCTGGTTGTTCAGTTGAAAGTGTATTTTTAAAAAGTGTAAATCTGATGATAATTGGTCATTAAAAAATATGCTTTCTTCTTCAGAACCTTTACCTGAGTCCACACGTTCAATCTTTGTTCAGATGGTTTATCAATCAAATCGGAATCCAGCTATTCATGTTGCTTCATCGTGCCCCATCACTTGCTTTCTGTGGTGTTCTAGTGCGACCTATTGGTCACTAGATGAACTGCAACTCCAAATCTGATTTTTTTTTCTTAACCCTTGTGATGACACCTACAGCGTTGAATTAGTTTTACAAAGAAATTCTCTATAATATTCTACAATATTACACAAGGCTTGAGCCACCTCCTGTTTCAAAATAATTTACACCCAAAGATGCATACATTTTTAAAGGGATCTTTAAAAGTAGTTCTCTGGGTTTTCTGAAGATCTTTTAAAGTTTTCTTTGGACATTGGCTGCTTTTTCACTCATTTTCAGTCCAGTCCTTGTTGACCATTTTCAAAGGAATATTTTTGTTATTTCTTGACCTGTGAATTTAAGCATAAAAAGGTACCCAACTCAATTCAATTCAATTTTATTTATATAGCACCAAATCACAATAACCAAGGGATGAATACTTTGTGTCTATACATAACAAACAACTTAGCAAATAACCAAAAAAAAGTGTGTTCCAATGCATTTCAAGGAATCTATGGAAAATGCCAAAGACAACATAGTTTGACGGGCATAAAACTGTATTTGTGCACCAACAAGTTGATTCCCATAAAGAGCTATTGGCAAAATCCTGAAAATATACCTCAGCATGGTGTTCATTGTGTCCTTAAAAAAGTGAGAAAACAGGACAAGTTGAGGACAAAAAGAAGGGGGAAAAACAGCAACATTTTTAGATGCATCTAGCCCTTTGGTTGATATATCTAATGTTCACCAAAGCCTCATTAAATACTCTCAGTGGATCGGTGACTGCCAAGAAGCCATAAGGAAGGACGACAGGAAGAAAAGTATGCCCAAGTATGCCAAAAATTGGAATAACAATCAGTTGCAGCAACTCTTATGGAGTGATGAACCCATATTTGAACTATTTAGTTCAAATCACCATCAATGTGTGAGTGTGTGAGTGTGTGAGTGTCTACAGCCATCTGTAACATACAGCGTAGGTTCTGTCATGGTTCTGTGCTGTGGTGTTGGAGATCATGACAAAATCTGATGGAACACATAAAAGTACCATCAGATTTTAATGCACCATGCAATACCATCAACCTGATAGTAATCCCAATCACACTGCCAATGCAATAAAAGTATACCTGGATAGAAATACACAGAGTGAAGCAGCATCAGTCATGGACTGACCTCCCTGGACTCCAGACAGCAACATTAATGAAGCCGTGTGGGATCACATCAACAGAGAGCAGAACAAAAGGCAGCCAACATCCAAATAAGTCCTTTAAGAAGCTTGGGAGACTATTTAAGGACTATTTCTAAAGACTCCTTTAAAAAAAAATCACAAGAAAGCTTACCTAAGAGAGTTCAGGCTGAGTTGAAGAATAAAGGTGGTCCATACCAAGTATTGACTTTCAGCTCGTTAGAATTTTACAAACTCTGTTTTGTATTGTATGTTTGCACATGTTTCAATAAATTGCTACACGTAGTTCCCATTTTACTAACAAAATATAAGACATGAAGGTGACCCAAGACTTTTGCACAGTACTGTATCTCCAAGAAAATAG